TATACTATGGAGAAATTTGTACCGAAGAAGCGATACCTTTACATTTTCCTTTTTCCCATTCTATCTTATACTTGTTTCATTTTTTTTTTTTAGAAAAAAACCTCTACTTGTTTTCTTTTATTAGCTGAAGCTGCTTAAGAATTCAATTTATATTTGGCTTATTAAAACACAATTTTCTATGATAGGGGTGGTTTTTCAATAAAGATGTTATTTTTTTATGAAGATGAAGAGCTAATTGCTTTGTTATGTTTTTTTCTAAAATCAGGAGCACAAAGAAATCAGATGAGGACATTCCTTTTCTACCTCGTTTGCAAAGTGAAGCTCCTGGTATGTTTATAGATAATGTTTTTGCAACTCTTGGCTCTCATTCGGTACCAGTTAATTCCTCAGAACCGACACTGCTGGTCTATCCCTTTTTGTTATTGTTTCTTGATGAGCTGAGGTTTGAGTAGATACTGCAGCATTTCAAATTTCTAATCATTTTAAGGTTCTTTTGCAGCAATAATCTCATTAATTTATCAGGTTTATACGAGGATTTAATGCATATTTTGGCTGGACTTTTTGTCCTTCCATCAGCATGTTGATAATATATTTATTTGATTTTCTTATGTTGTCATTAACCCCTGATGCTTTTCTGTTCATGGCTTACCTTCGTTGACCAGGGGGTTTCTTTCTGTACCTTTTAACACTCCTTGCCTCATTGTTAATGGACTGGAGCGCCTGGTTGAAGCATCACCTGTGGTGAAAAAGGTTCTGCCTGTTGCAATGGCTTTCACCTTTGGTGTGCTATTTGCCAAGAGAATATATGGTGTTAAAGAGTAGATTGGGCAAATTTGAGTGGGGTGCAATAGGAGGAGTTATGTCATGTCACAGACATTATCTTCCTATTGGATGATACTCGACAGATAGAGATTAGATAGGCGGTAGGATTATAGGTGCTGGTTAGCTTTCTATTTGATAAGCCTTTTAAGTTTTTGTTTGGCTTCATTATTTCAAGCTAATTGCTTGGTCGAAATGTTCAGTTTAGGTAAAAATAGAGGGTTAGTTTCTCTGGAAGGCAAGTACTGTGGTATTGGAGGTTTGATCTTCGTGCTTCATTTGTCCCTCTGATTTGACTTGCTTCTATTGATCTTCATAATCTTATCATTTCTGATTACTATTAAACAACTTGCTTCCAAGTAGTTGATAATGATAAAAAAATCTGAAGTATTTGTAACTCAACTTTCATGATAATTCTTTTTCATCGGCGTAGAAGGGGATTCAGGTGGCTGAAGAACTCTTTTGACCAAAAAGGTTTATTTAAATCCTGAAGTTATTGAAGGACCCCATGCTTCTTCTATTCATCACTTTAAGTAAAGTAACGACACCTACCGTGGGATCAACAGAAACTTTTCTTTTCTTTTTATATGCATATTATGACTCGTGTTTCAATGTGACAACTGTAACACAATCCGATCTTAAAACTCAAAACATCTGTGGCTCCATGAATGTAAAGTCCAATTCAAATACAGATCCGGGATAGCTATCACAGACTCGGGTCAGCCCATTTCTTTCAAACACACAAAATCTATATGAACATGAGATTCTCGTGCGCTTAGTTGGGCACATCAAGGAGGGGCAACTAAAATTTGTTCTTCAAATAGAAAAAACGAAGAGCTAAAAATGCGTGCCAATTAACTAACTAATTAGAGTAAACAATTTGAATTCAGATTTAGCTCATATGAAAAAAATGAAGTACTTAGGTGATTAAGGCTCAATGAATCTCCTAGTTTGAAAAAAAATAAAAAATTTCATTTGTAATACGAGAAAATGACATAATATTAACTAAAAAAGAGACTTAAATTTACAGAAGGCGTATCTTTAGCTTCATTTGTTGCGTTGTCGGTTTAGAATTTAAGATAAATGGTTTGTGTAGTGTCTTATCTTATTATTTCAAGTTGAAATCTAGAAAAAATCATAAACGCATTTTCTAATTGAGAATGACTTATCAAAAATACAAAGGATAAAAAGGTGATTTTAATATTAGCTAATTGCCAAAAAAATACTTAATTTTGACCCCAAAAAAATATATGTGTGTGTGTAAAATGAGATGAAAATGAAACAAAATAAAGAAATAAAATATGAGAATGGACTGATGGGAGGTTAAATTAAATGAAATTAAATTACGGTAAATAGAAGTTGCATCTGCACCATCCCGACAGTTTTTCCTGCACCAAATTGTCAATGGACTGGAGCCCCTGGTTGAAGCCTCCCCTTTGGCGAAGCAAGTTCCGCCTGTTACAAATGTGGTGTTAGTTTTTTCTGGGGAGGCAATTCATTTGAGATAATTAAAATTAACTGCTTCCATTGAGTACTGTAATCTTGTCAGCCCTTGTTATTATTGGCTGATTACCATTTGTGCTAAGCAACCACGTATCGAGTGCTTTCGAATTCTCTTATCTATTTCAAATTTTCATTATACTGTTATTTGATTTCGTAATATTTTTTGTTAATTATTTTTATGATTCAAAATTAACTATTTTATTTTATAATTTTATAATTTTTTATTTTTTTCAATTTCAAACTTTAATTTATTAATTATTTTTATTATTTTTATTTTTAAATTTAAAATTTTTTTAATATCAAACTTTAATTATATTATGATTTATTCTATTTTTTAAAGGTTTTTAATAATTATTTTTATTATTTAAAATTTACTACTTTAATTTATTATTTTTTAAATTTTAATTTAATTAATTTAAAATTATATTTATTGACAGTTTTAATTTTTTTCTATATATATGGATTTTGAAATAAATTTTTATAATATGATAATTTTTTCTTAATTGTATTATGATTTGATCCCATTTTATTTTAATATTTTTTTATTAATTATTTTATTATTTAAAATTTATTATTTTAATTTATCTTTTTTTTAAAAAAAAATTCAACCTTTAATTATATCATCGTGTCTTTTTTCCTACTCTCGACCGCATTAAAACCCCGAGGCGATACTTCACTCCATAATTCCGGAAATCTAGGGTCTCCTTAACAAGGCCAAACATGTTGGCGGCGTTTTCGCTGTCCCTTAAACCCTTCCCTTTATTGCACTCCTCTTCTAAGGGCGTCGCTCCGATCAGAAATGTCGACTTCGAGAATGGCAGTTCTGGCAAAAACCTTCACTACCCTGTCCGTTGTCTTCCAATAAAAGCAGCTGATGGCGGCGGCGATAATGGTGGGGCTGGTGATGGAAATGGCAGTGGAGATTCTTTTGGTGGTGGTGGTGGAGGAGGAAGAGACGGTGGCGATAGTGAGGAAGATAAAGAGTTTGGACCGATATTGAAGTTCGAGGATGTAATGAAGGAGAAAGAGACTCGTGGAGTTGAGCTTCCTGCTGATATGTTGGAAGCTGCTAAATCTGCCGGGATTATCCAATTGTTTCTCCTTCGTTCCCCCGATTTGCAGTTCCTTTATTTTGTTATTTCTCTTTTCTATGATTTTATAATGTTATTGATTTTGATTTTAAAATTTAATAGAAAAAATAGAATAATTGTTAGGTTTTGTTGGTGTTGTAAATGCGTAATTGCAGGGATCAGCATGGCCACTAGGTTTTGTTTTGTTTTTCTCTATCATCAGAAGCTTAAAGAAATCAGAAAAGGACATTCCTGTTCCAGCTCGTTGGGGTATGTTTAGATATATTGTTTTTCCAATTTTTGGTTTCTAATTTGGTACCAATTACAATTTCTCAGAACCAATTTTGTTGGTCTTTCCATTTCTGTTATTGGTTTCTGAATTAGCTGAACTGAGGTTGAGTAGATACTGCAACAAATTTCGTCTGGTTTTTAGTTTTTTTTTTTTTTTTTTTCAGCAATAATTTCATTAATTCATTAGGATTACATGAGAAATTGTTTTCAATGTAGATTTTGTCTGGACCTTTTGTCCGTCAATCAGCATGTTGATAATATATTTTTACGTTTTTTTTTTTTTAATTAACCCCCAACACCTTTCTGTTTAATGTTTGCCTATTGATCAGGTGTGTTCCTTTCTGTATCTTCCAACCGTAGTTGGCAAATTATCACCGGACAGGACCGCCTGGTTGGAGCGTTATCTTTGGCGAAACAGGCCCTGAGTATTGCAATTACGCATTTATTGGAAGACAACGATGCATATAAGAGAGTTATTGATGTTTCTGAAAGAGCAGACTGCTTTTATTGGAAGACAACGGACAGGGTAGTGAAGGTTTTTGCCAGAACTGCCATTCTCGAAGTCGACAATTAAATTATATTATTCTGTTTTGTCAACGAAGTATACTGGTGAAATTTAACAATAATAATGCATGGTTAAACATGTTAGAGGAAAGTTTGCTGTGTAACATGTCTCCGTTCCAGCTGAGCTGCTGGA